CCTTCCTTCCTTCCTTCCTTCCTTCCTTCCTTCCTTCCTTCCTTCCTTCCTTCCTTTAACCACCTAGGATCCACTAAATGCACCTCCATAGCCAACAGGACTCGTAAGATGCCACTTCTTTATATTGATTATACTTCATTACATGGCAACCAAAGAGCCTACCTAGCATACTCATTTAGCTATTGAAGACAAATGTCTGCAGAGCTGGCAGCGGAATTGGACAGTGAGGAGGCTGGGGAGGACAATTGGCCAGTCCTGGAGTCAGGGGAAGGCCCGGATGAGGACTCTGCATCTGAGGCAGAGATGGGGCCACGGCCATCTGGGAGCAATGCATGGAGTCCCAAGCCTCCAGAGGTGGATAGCAGAGAGGCAGAGGAAGAGGTGGAGTCCATTCCTAGTGCACACATGCGAAGAGCTGCCAGAAGGCAAGAGCAGCTAAAGGAAAAAGGAAGACACGGAAGTAAGGCCAGGAGATAATTGGCCCCTCCCAGAAGGCTTAAAAGAGCAGTAACGGCTCTTGGGATCATTGTAGGAAAGCAACATTGCTACATTTGTTTCTTGCTGGTGTCTCTTGCTTCTGATTCATGAGAGTTTTGCCAAGAAAACCCTTTGGCAAGTTGCCAAAGAAGACAAAGGTTGGTGATAAGGCCGAAGGACTGTTTATGAAGAATTTGTTTTGGGCTTAATTTGGACAAAGCTGAGAATGAAGTAATTCTCAGCTGTTCTAATCAAATATGTTTGTTTAGGACTGATTGTGTCTGGTAATAACTGCTTGGGCCTAGGTCACAACAAGGAATCAAGACACTATGAATACTGCAAAACACCACATAACACAAGCCCAGGGCAGGATCTCTCCCCAAATCACCACTGACTGGAATGTACCCCAGGAAAAAGGTGGCAAAGCAGCATAACACAATGCTGCCCATTCTTATCATGTGAGTTGATACGGAAGGGTAAAATGGTTGCTTGTTTCGAAAACCACATTGATCTAAAGAATGGGGGGCAGAGCTCACAGATCTAAGGATATATCCATTTCTTCAGGCTCCATGAGTTCAAACTATTTCCAGGTATTGGAGCAAGATTCGTCCAAATTTTGATGATTATGGCTTACAGTTCATGAAAACCCCAGTTTCACAATCTCAGAAAATTAGAATATTACATGAAAGCAATAAAACAAGGAGTGTACATAGAACAATATCGGACCTCTGAAAAGTATAAGCATGCATATGTACTAAGTATTTGGTATGGGCCCCTTTTGCATCAATTACTGCCTCAATGCGGCGTGGCATCGATGCTATCAGCCTGAGGCACTGCTGAGGTGTTATGGAAGACCAAGATGCTTCAATAGCGGCCTTCAGCTCTTCTGCATTGTTCGGTCTCATGGCTCTCATCTTTCTCTTGGAAATGCTCCATAGATTCTCTATGGGGTTCAGGTCAGGTGAGTTTGCTGGCCAATCAAGCACAATAATCCCATGATCATTGAACCAGGTTTTGGTACTTTTGGCAGTATGGGCAGGTGCCAAGTCCTGGAAAATGAAGTCAGCATCCCCATAAAGCTCATCTGCAGAAGGAAGCATGAAGTGCTCCAAAATCTCCTGATAGACAGCTGCATTGACCCTGGATTTAAGGAAGCACAGTGGACCAACACAACAGCAGATGACATGGCTCCCCAAATCAATACAGACTGTGGAAACTTCACACTGGACTTCAAACAACTTGCAGTGTGTGCCTCTCCATTCTTCCTCCAGACTCTGGGTCCTTGGTTTCCAAATGAGATGCAAAAGTTGCTCTCATCAGAAAAGAGGACTTTGGACCACTGAGCAACAGACCAGCTCTTTTTTTCTTTAGCCCAGGTAAGATGCTTCTGACGTTGTTTGTTGTTTAGGAGCGGCTTGACAAGAGGAATATGACATTTGAAGCCCATGTCCAGGATCCGTCTGTGTGTGGTGGCTCTTGATGCACTGACTCCAGCCTCTGTCCACTCCTTGTGAAAGTCCCCAACACTTTTGAATGGCCTTTTCCTGACAATCCTCTCCAGACTGAGGTCATCTCTGCTGCTTGTGCACCTTTTTCTTCCACACTTTTCCCTTCCACATAACTTTCTATTAATGTGCTTTGATACAGCACTTTGGGAACATCCAACTTCTTTTGCAATTACCTTTTGAGGCTTTCCCTCCTTATGGAGGGTGTCAATGATGGTTTTCTGCACAATTGTCAGATCAGCAGTCTTTCCCATGATTGTGATTCCTACTGAACCAGAGTGAGAGACCATTTAAAGGCTCAGGAACCCTTTGCAGGTCTTATGGCTTAATTAGCTGACTAGAGTGCGACACTTTGAGCCTAGAATATTGAACCTCTTCACAATATTCTAATTTTCTGAGATTGTGAATTTGGGGGTTTTCATGAGCTGCAAGCCATAATCATCAAAATTATGACAACTCAAGGCTTGAACTATCTCGCTTTGCATGTAATGAGTCTATCTCATATATTAGTTTCACCTTTTAAGTTGCATTACTGAAATAAATGAACTTTTGCATGATATTCTAATTTTTCAAGTTTCACCTGTATCATGTCCACAGACACTGAGGAAAACAGCTAACTTCCTATCCCCTGGCAGACTTTTGTAGTCATTTGCAGCCAGGAAACAGTTAAAACGGTCTAAGAAAGAGTCCCAGGTCTCCACTGCCTGGTTTAAAGGCGCAAATGTGGATAGGGTGGACATGTTCTGGGAGAACAGAATCTGTCCTTAGTATTTGCGACGTCTCATCTCTATGGCTCAGCTCAGTGCTTCAACTCTTGTAAGTGGCTTCACTCGACCTGCCGCCTCAGGGTAATCCCACCTTTGTCGCCAGTTCTTCTGTTCGCTGAATAAAGGCTTAAGAAGGGAGGCGAGGCAGGATAAACACTTCACAAATGTTTATTGGCTAACAATAAAAGCCAACAGTGACTTGCTCTGCTTAGCTAACTACCTTGGAGAGCAAGCAGCATTTTGAGGCACTACAGCTCTTTTATACTGAGCTGTCAGTAGCTGGGCCAATCAGGAGCTGCCAATTTCCCGCTGGCTGCTTGCCATCACCCAGACCAATCGGCTGCTCTATTGGCCGCTCGTGCTTGCCGTCCGGACGTAGCAATCCCTGTCCTACTGTCCCCATTTATTTGTATCCATTTCATGTATTAATAATCATGTTTATACTTATAATTGTTATTTTGTACATGCTTGACAAAATAAATTAAAAAAAAAATATGAGCTAGCAGTGTGCGGCGGCAGGCAGAGAAAATAAATCTTCGTTGTATAAAAAGCTAAATGTTTGTTGTATAAAGAAGCATAAAATTGATTGAAGAATTTGGATTTGGCTAATCTAGAGAAAAAGATTAAGGACATGGTAGCAGTATTCCAGTATTTGAGAGTTTGCCACAAAAGTGTGTGTGTGTGTGTGTGTGTGAATTTATTTTCCAATGCATTGGAAGGCAGGACAAGAAACAATGGATAAAAACTAATCAAGTAGAGAAGCAATCTGGAATTAAGGAGAAACTTCCTAACAGTGACAACAATTAACCAGTGGAATAGTTTGCCAACAGCAGTTGTGGGTGTTTCATCACTGGAGTTTTTTAAGAAGAGCCTGGATACTTAATTGTCTGGAATGGTGTATGATCTCCTGTTTGAGCAGGGAGCTGGTCTAGAAGACTTCCAAGGTCTTTTCCACCTCTGTTCTGATTGAGATATAAATATTTATGCACAGTTTTGCTGAGCTTTGGCATTTACTACTTATTATGGTTTAATTAGTTGCATTTGTTAAATGAAAATTATATTGGCAAGCAGGTATTATTATGTAGATGTCAGTTTGCTACAATATTTAAATGCAATTCCTAACCCTACAAATAAATATATTTATTGAGCCACGGTTGTGCACTGGTTAGAGTGCAATACTGCAGGCTATTTCTGCTGACTAAGTGAAATTTGGCAGTTCAAATCTCACCAGGCTCAAGTTTGATTCAGCCTTCCATCCTTCTGAGGTGGGTAAAATGAGGACCCAAATTGTTGGGGGCGATATGCTGACTCTGTAAGCTGCTTAGAGAGGGCTGGAAAGCACTGTGATGTAAGTCTAAGTGCTTTTGCTATTGGTATTTATATCTTCTGTTCATTCCTCTGAGTTCACTTTTAGTTATTAACTTATCACCTAAGTTTTTCTGTGATCTACGTATTTCTCAACCATTTCCTCTTTCATTTTTGGGCTATTATTATTTTTTAAAGTAGAACAAAATGAGAAAAGAAGTTCAAACTTTATCAAATTTCCTCCTCCTTACCTTCCTCCTCCCTTCTTACCTTTATTTTTTTCATTAGGATGTCACACCTCATGTTCCTATGGTGTCTGTTTACTATGACAGCTTTCAATATCTCTTACGGCAGGTGTAATTTTCTATTTCTCACGAAAAGCCACTGAGACTTACTTACTTGCTTACTTTCCTGCTTACTTATTTATTACATTTATTTTCCACCTATCTTGCTGTGGGTCTATTCTAGAAGCTTACAATCATGAAACAGAAGGAAAATGAAAAGAATGTAAAGAGGATGGGTGGGTGAGGAGCAGAGACCAGCAGTGGGAAGGTGGAGTCTGCAATCAATCTACCTCCTGTGTGAAACTCTTCCAGTTGGTCCCAAAGTCAATTGACGGAGTCATGTCTTAAAAAATTTGTGAAAGGATAGAAGGGTAAGAAGTTCCAAAGGGAAGGTGCAGCAGCAGAGAAGGCTCCTCTTCTGGATCCCGATAATCAAGTTCTTTAAACAATGGGATCCAAAGTAGGCCCTCTCTGCTGGCACAAGTAGGATAGGCTAGTCCTAACAGGATGAAGCAGTTCATTAGATAGCCTGGACCTATGCCATTACTGACTTTAATGGTTATAACCAACACTTTGAACTGCAGTCAGAAGCACATTGGTAGCCAGTGAAGTTTTTGGAACAGAGATGGATCACTCTAGAGGCCCCAAAGACTATTGCTGCTTCTGCACTAGGCACCAGCTAAAGCTTTTGAGGAGACCGCAAGGGTAGCTTCATGTAGATGCAATAGTCCAGATGAGAGATACCCAGGTCTGGAGTAACAAAGCACAGGGAGTCATGAACCGATAATGCAGAACTAGGGATGAAAAATACCCAAAGCCAATCAGTTTGGCCAGGGTTATATAGGTAACTTGCTATAAGAATTGCATTCAAAATGTTATATTTCACAACTGCATACTTTTGGTTTAAAGTTTTAGTTTTCAATCAGTTATTCAAGATGGTCAGTAGCAATTTAATGAGGCAAATGAGGATTCTGTCACAATTTAGAGAACTTATAGTGGACCAAATAAATCGGTTTCATTTTTTTGTCAGCTGTTCCTTTCTGTTCAAATCAGGCCTCAGAATAATAATGTAACATTTAGGGGAAAAGATGCAACCCAGTAATCCAGCTGCAGAAGCCAAAATGGAAAAGATTTCAACAGCTACCATGTATTTTCCCTTTGTACTCAAATAGGTGGGAACAAAGGATATCCAGACACTACAAAAGACCAACATGCTGAAGGTGATAAATTTGGCTTCATTAAAGCTGTCGGGTAACTTCCTAGCTAGGAAGGCTACTGAGAAGCTGACAGCAGTCAAGAATCCCAAAAAACCAAGAACAGTATAAAACATAGTGGTTGAACCTTCTTTACATTCTAGGACAATTTCTTCAGCCATGGAGTGCATGTCAGAATCCGGGAATGGGGGGGAAATTGCCAACCACACTGCACAAATGGAGAATTGTGTCAAAGAGCATGAAAGAACTATAGCGTTGGCCAGCCTTTTCCCCACCCATTTCCTCATTTTGGATCCGGGCTTGGTGGCCATGAAAGCAAGGACCACTATGATTGTTTTCCCCAATATGCAAGAAAGAGCTACAGAGAAGATGATGCCAAAAGAAGTTTGTCGCATGAGACAATTCACCTGATTTGGTTGCCCAATGAAGAGGAAAGTGCAAAGGAAGGAGAGGAGGAGAGCAATGAGAAGAATGTAGGTGAGGTTCCGGTTGTTGGCTTTGACAATGGGGGTGTCCCGATGCTTAATGAAGATTCCCAGGACCATAACTGAGATGAAAGAAAAGAAGGAAGCAATAGCTGTCAGGCTAATTCCCAGAGACTCTTCATGAGACAAAAATGTGATGAGTTTTGGAATGCAAAGGTTGTGAGCTTGGTTTGGGTACTGATCTTGTGAACATGGGAAACAGTCATCTGCATCTGGAAAAGAAATTATTGCGGTCAAGTGTTTAATGTTATCCACAACAACCTATTACCGGATTGGTCATCATTTCAGAGATATTTCCTTTCCTGACTGAGCATTTGAAAACTTCCTTCTTTCCTCCCTCCCTTCCTCCCTCCCTCACTGATACATGAGGACCTGGTGACCTTGAGATTTTTCTACACTAACCCCTTTTGTAAGACATATTCAATTGATCCAGCTCCAGTGATTAATTGGCCCTGTGAGGTTCCAATGTGAGTTGGACTGTTGTTTCATAGGATCTGTTGCATGGGTCTGCCAAAGCCCTCACTGTTACTGGAATAGAGAGGTAGCAGAGGGCTTGGATAGAATTGAATAGGGTCAGGCCCATGCAACTTTTTTCTTCCCATTGAACCAGGCATTCTCTGTGCTTTATGGAGGATTTGAGAGAGTTGAAAAGAGTCGAGAGACATCTAGAGCATTGCTGGAGAAAGACGAGGGATGAATCTGAACAATGACAAGCTAGAGTCACTCTTAAGTGTGTATCATTTTTCAAAAAGTTATTACTGAACACAAACAGTTCATAATTTTTGCTCAGCCTCCCACCTGCCCTTTTTAGGGAATGTGGTTGAGAAGGTGATTGTGCTGCAACTCCAGAAGATCCTTGATTAAATGAATTATCTGGACTGCTTTCAGTCAGGTTTCAGGCCTGGACATGGGCAGGAAATGGTATTGGTCATTCTTTTGGATGATGTCTGAAGAGAATGGGATAGGGATAGTACATCCATCCTGGCTCTTCTTGACCATGGTATCCTTTTGAGATGGTTTTGGGAACCATGAGAGGAAAGAACATTACAGGTCAGGTTCTCTCCTTCTTCTTTGACCAGTTCCAAAGGGAGAAAGAGGTCCAGCCTGCAAGACCAACTATGGGGTGCTATATGACTCGGTGCTTTCTCTGTATCTTTTTATTATCTACAAAAACAGTTTTCAGAGTCAGCATATTGCCCCCAACAATCTGGGTCCTCATTTTATTGACCTCAGAAAGATGGAAGGCTGAGTCAGCCTTGAGCCAGTGAGAATTGAACTGCCGAACTGCTGGCAGTTGGCAGTCGGCAGAATAGCTTGCAATGCTGCATTCTAACCACTGCACCATCATGGCTGTTACAGTATGTACTAGTTGTAGCCTTTTCAGCTCTACTCTCTATTACTCATATCTTGGTCATCTCCCATATGGATTATTGCAATGCAATCTATATGGAGCTACTCTTGAAGAGCCTTGGTAGTACAGTGGTCTAAGGCACCTTGTTATTAAGACCAGCTGCCTGCAATTACTGCAGGTTCGAATCTCACCAAGGCTCAAGGTTGACTCAGCCTTCCATCCTTTCTAAGGTAGGTAAATTGAGGACCCAGTTGTGGGGGCAATAAGCTGACTTTGTATAAATATACAAAAGAATGAAGGCTATTGCTTAGCGCATTGTAAGCCGCCCTGAGTCTCCGGAGAAGGGCAGCATATAAATAAATAAAAAAAAAAGAGGCTGTAGCTGATGTAGAATGCAGCATCACAAACAATATTGGGCACCCTTAGGGTTCCATATATAACACCTCTGCTATACAAACTTCATTTTTTTTCTCAGTTGCTTCTTGGAGTTCAATTCAAGGCATTTGCTATTACCTTTAAAGCCCTTTCTCAGATCATTTGGAGAACTGCCATCCCCACTCTATGATCCTATCCCACCTAATTAGGCAGGGAGGGAATATTGCAGATTCCAGGCTCAAGGTTGACTCAGCCTTCCATCTTTTCTAAGGTAGGTAACATAAGGACCCAGATTGTGGGGGCAATAAGCTGATTTTGTATAAATATACAAAAGTATGAAGGCTATTGCTTATTGCATTGTAAGCTGCCCTGAGTCTTCGGAGAAGCGCGGCATATAAATCAATTTTTTTAAAAAAAACTTAAAATGCTGCAACTCTTCTTTTAAATTTTGTTTTTAACTTATTCTTACTTATATCTCTATACTACGATTTGCTTTTATACATATAGTCTAGTGAAAAGAAGAACCAGGGGTGTCATGATAACAGTGTTCCAATATTTGAGGGGATGCCACAAGGAAGAGGTGCTCAATCTATTCTCCAAACCACCTGAAGGCAGGACAAGAAGCAATGGATGGAAACTAATACAGGAGAGAAGCAACCAGAACTAAAGAGAAATTTTCTGACAGGGATAACAATTAATCCAGTAGGTGCTTCAACATTGGAGGTTTTTAAGAAGGTATTAGATAACCACTTGTCTGAAAAGGTATAAGGTTTCCTGCTTGAGCAGGGATTTGGACTGGAAGACCTCCAAGGTCCCTTCAAACTCTGTTATTCTGTTATACTAAGATATTTATTTATGTATTTACTTACTTACTTACTTATTTGTTTATTAAATTTATATTGCCCCCAATTGGAACATGGCGACTCAAGGCAGCTTACAAGAATATAAAAATAATAAAACTAATAAAATTGTTATATAAAACAATTTATATATTAATTGTTATATGAAAACAATAAAACTAATAAAAGAGACAATCAAATAATATATTTAAAAAATAATATAATAAAATACCCCCCACACCCCCACCCCTGTGACAATATATCACACAAACCATTTAATGGGTTCCATACCGCTCTGGGTTCCCCAGACCTGCTGGCAGAACCAGATCTTCAGCGCCTTCCAGAAGAGTCTTAGAGTGTGGGCCATTCTAATCTCTGGGGGAACGATGTTCCAGAGAGAGAGGGAGCCACCATGGAGAAGGCCCTTCTTCTGGGTTCCACCAGGTTTATCTCCTTAAGGAATGGGATCACAACATTCCTTGCCTCCCTACTCTGGTGGGTCGGGTAGATGTAACCAGCCAGAGATGGTCCCTCATATAACCTGGTCCAAAGCCATTAAGGGCTTTAAAGGTGACAACCAGCACCTTGAATTGCACACAGAAGCAAATTGGCAACCGAGACTTCCTGTAGCTCCGCAATTGCCGTAGGATGCTCCTTTAGGAGCTCCAGCCCCATGATTCCGTTTATTTATTTATTTATTTATTTATTTATTTATTTATTTATTTATTTATTTATTTGATTTATATACCGCCCTACTCCCGAAGGACTCAGGGTGGTGAACAGCCAACAATAAAATCCATACATACAAAATTTAAAAGCAGAATTAAAATCAAATTAAATAGTTTTGGCCCAGACAAATTAAAACCCCAATCAATTTAAAAGCAATTTTAAAATTTGAATATATAAAATACTAAAAAATATTAAAAATTAAAAATTCTTTTATAAAAGAGGGAGAAAATTAGGCCAGGCCCGCCTGCTGAAATAAAAAGGTCTTTAGAGCGCGGCGGAAGTTGCGCAGATCCGGGATCCTCCATATCTCCAGGGGGAGCTTGTTCCAGATAGTAGGTGCCCCCACAGAGAAGGCTCTCCCCCTGGGGGCCGCCAGTCGGCATTGTTTGGCCGACAGCACCCGGAGGAGCCCCTCTCTATGGGAGCATACTGGCCGGTGGGAGGCTATTGGTGGTAGTAGGCGGTCCCGCAAGTACCCAGGTCCTGAGCCATGGAGCACTTTAAAGGTGGTAACCAAAACCTTGAAGTGCATGCAGAAGACCACTGGGAGCCAGTGCAGCTAGCGCAGGAGGGGTATTACATGGAACGCCAAGTCACTCCCATTACCACCCGCGAGGCCGCACTCTGTGCCAGTTGGAGCCTCCGGGTGCTCCTCAAGGGGAGCCCCATGTAGAGAGCGTTACAATAGTCCAGGCGAGAGGTGACAAGGGCATGAGTGATCATGCGTAAGGAGTCCCGATCAAGAATGGGATGCAACTGGCGAATCAGGCGAACCTGATGAAAAATCCTCCCGGTCACAGCCGTCAAGTGCTCTTCTAAAGACAGCCGTGAATCCAGGAGGACGTCCAAGTTGCGCGCCCTCTCCATGGGGGCCAATGATTCACCCCCAATAGTCAGTGATGGCAGCAACTGACTATATCGAGATGTCAGAAACCGCAGCCACTCAATCTTGGATGTGTTGAGCCTGAGCCTATTCCTCCCCATCCAGATCCGCATGGCCTCCAGGCACTGGGACATCACTTCAAGGGCATCGTTGGGGTGGTCTGGGGTGGAGATGTACAGCTGGGTGTCATCAGTGTACTGATGGTACTTCACCCCAAAACCATGGATGATCTCGCCCAGCGGCTTCACATAAATGTTGAACTGGAGGGGCGAGAGGACTGACCCTTGCGGCACCCCGCATATGAGGGGCCTCGGAGTTGACCTCTGCGCCCCTGTCAACAGGGACTCTGACCGGTCAGAGAAAAAGGAGGAGAACCACTGCAACACAGTGTCTCCCACCCCTAACTCTTCCAACCGGTGCAGCATGATACCATGGTCGATGGTATCAAAAGCCGCTAAGAAATCTAACAGGACCAGGACAGAGGAGCATCCCCTGTCCCAAGCCCTCCAGAGATCATCCACCAATGTGTCCAATGCTGTTTCCATGCTGTAAGCCTGACTGGAACGGATCCAGATACGTCGTTTCATCCAGGTGTTGGGGGAGCTGTTGCACAACCACACTCTCAACAACCTTCGCCACAAAGCAAAGGTTGGAGACCGGATGATAATTTACCAACATTGCTGGGTCCAGGGAAGGCTTCTTGAGGAGAGGCCTCACCACCACCTCTTTCAAGGTGGCGGGAAAGTCACCCTCACCCAATGAAGCATTTATAATCCCCTGGAGCCAGCCTCGTGTCACTTCCCGGGAAGCCAGCACTAACCAGGAAGGACACGTGTCCAATAAACAAGTGGTCGCATTCAGTCTACCCAGAATCCTGTCCATGTCCTCAGGGGTCACAGGATCAAACTCATCCCAGATAATATTCTCAAGACCTTCCCCAGTCCCTCCCCCTGAGACTACCCAGTCAGAGTCCAGATCTTCCTGAATCTGAGTGATTTTGTCATACAGATACTGAACAAAATCCTAGGCTCTACCCTCCAAAGGGTCCTCCCACGCTTCCTGGTGGAGCAGGGAGCGGGTCACCCTAAAGAGGGCAGCTGGGCAGTTATCTGATGATGCAATAAGAGCAGCAAAATAACTACATTTCACTGCTTTTATCGCCACTAGGTAATTCCTAATATGGGATCTTACTAGTGTCCAGTCAGATTCAGAAAGACTGGCCCTCCAACTACTCTCTAGGTGTCTTTTCCGGTGCTTCAACTCCCTCAGCTCCTCGGTGAACCAAGGAGCCAATTGAGATTGGCTCCAGGTCAGAGGCCGCAAAGGCACGACCTGACCCAGAGCTCCAGCGGCCGCCCTATCCCAGGCGGCCACTAGGTCTCCAGTCGAGGCATGTGCCAGAGCCTCAGGAAATGGCCCAAGCTCTATCTGGAACCTGTCAGGTTCCATCAGGGACCTGGGGCGGAACCATCTTACCGGCTCTGCCTCCCTGTGGCGGGGTGTAGCGATTCAAAGGTTGAGACAAAGGAGAGAGTGATCTGACCATGACAAGGGCTCGGTAACTATATCCCCTATCTCAAGATCACTCAACCACTGTCCAGAGACAAAAACCAGATCCAGGTGTTTCCCCCCGTGTGGGTAGGGCCATGAATTAACTGGGTCAGGTCCATAGTGTCATGGAAGCCATGAACTCCCGAGCCACCTCAGACGCCTCACCCATGGATGGCAGGTTGAAATCCCCCATGACCATAAGCCTGGGGGTATCAACTGCCACTGTGGCAATGACGTTGATTAGCTCGGGCAGGGCTGTTGCCACGTGGCAGGGAGCCAGGTACGTGATCAGCAAATCCATCTGAATCCCGTGACCCCATGCCGCTAGAACAGCGAAAATCTGCTGTCTAGCGGCTCGAAACTCTCCCCCAGGGAAAAAGGGGGAGAGAAGAGCAGAAGGGTCTGGGTAGAGCTCCCCTAGACCCCCAGGTTTTTCTTTTTAAGCCTGGGGTTTGCAGGGTGAGAGCTCCCTGAAAGCCGTTCAGTTGTTCTGGATCCAGGATGAGTCTGCTTTATGCAGACCGAGGCAACACAATTTTAAGGATTATAAGAAATTTGGACGTTGGATGCTGGCAGAGCAAATCAGGAGAACAAAAAATGCAAGTACTGATCTTTAACTCTGTTTAAAAAGGGAAATAATGGCGCTTGAGGGTGTGAAATCGAAACTTACTAGTGAAAGCGATCGTTAACACTGGTAACATTCTTAAAGCTACTGGATTACACATTAAGAAAAAGATTTAAAGTGGAAGCGGAATGGAAAAGGCTATGGTATTGACTTCAACTAATTTACATTTCTAAACTGTGTAGAAAATAGCTGGATTTACTGACCTGATAGCTGAATAAATATAAAGTGAAGATTGAAATATGGCTGACATTAGGGCTGGAGGATCGTTGTCTGGTGAGTCAGCAAACTCACAAGTTGTGACTGTAAAGGTTTTTCAAGAACTTTTAAACTCTTTTACTTCTGCCTTCTTGGAATCAATTGATAGAATTTTTCAAAAACATAACTTGGAGAATAACAATGATTTGCTGGCTGGAAAAGATTATGAAATTAACCAGAATAATATGATTTTGGAGAATAAAAAAGTGGCTGTCAGGATTGAGACGGAAGTTGGTTCAGCGGAAACAGAGGTTTTGGCAGAGGCTTCCTCGCAACTAATTGAAAAGCAATAAGCAGACTCTTTACTGCAAACCAAAAAATTTTATCGTGACAATTCTTGGTCTTACAGACAGAGGAATGAACTGATTGATTATATAAGCAGGAAGAATTGAAATGGGTGTTTCAAACCAGAGGAAATAATTCCAAGAAGAGAATGAGTTTTCAAGATACATCAACCTCAAATCAAAATTCAAAAATTTTCGAAAATAAAAGCAGGGGGAGGAGCAATGCTGAAGAAGAAAGTATTACTGAAGAAGAAAGACTGGAAAAAATATAGAAAGAAAGGAAGAATGGAAGATTAATTTCTTTTGAGGAGGATTTTAGTAATAAATCTGAAAAGTTTACTGTCTCATTGAAGTAAAAAGGCTTAATTAAAATTGGATAGCTTTCTAAAACTTATTGAAGTATTAATATGGTTAACTTAAAATTTAATGGATAGGTTTTTTTAAAAAAAATGTTGAAACTTTTGTATTTTGTAGAATGCCGTATTGATAAGAAGATATGGAAAAGATCTTAGTAACAAATGCGAAATGTGATAAGAGAATTTATAAAAGGAAGGTTGATGAATAATCTTTAAAAGGGGGTTAAAGAGTGTGAGGGAGTTTTGAATCTTGTAGTAAGTTAGTTTATTTTAGCTTATGTTTGTTAAATGTTATATCCTGTTTTTGCTCTGGGAAGTCGGGGGGGGAGTGGGGAGTGGGGGTTGAAGGATGGTTGAGGATAAAATTGTTGTTGAAAAAACTTTTTTACTAAAATAAAAAGATAGATAAATGTATTAATAGAAAAGTAAGAAATTTGGGGGGAATGTTACAATAAATGAAACGATAAAATTAAGATATGATAAATACTGGCGGAATAACAAGAAGATACAAAAGATGTACTCAGATGTTACATTGCATGATTGATTAAGAATTGTATGTTTGTTTGTTTGTTTATAAAAAATAAAAACTTTTTTAATATAAAAAAAGAAGCAAATTGGCAACCAATGCAGCTCCTGCAGGAAAGGTGATACATGTGCACATTGAGGTCTGCACAAAACCATGCAGGCCGCTGCATTTTACACCAACTGGGGCTTCCGGATGCTCTTCAAGGGCAGCCCCATATAGAGCACATTGCAATAGTCAAGACAGGAAGTGACTAGGGCATGAGTGACAGTGAATAGGGATTGTTGGTCCAGGAAAGGGCATAATTGGTGCACAACCCGCAGTTGCGCAAAGGCTATCCTGGCCATGACTGCCACTTACTTTACTTTACTTTACTTTACTTTATTCAAATTTCTATACCGCCCTTCTCCTTTCGGACTCAGGGCGGTGAACAGCCAAGATAAAAACATCTATACAAAACATCACAGTT